AGGGCAAAGGCTGCAAAAGCTGTGGTAGATGCGTGGAAGTAAGCCCATTACTGTGGTGTGGGCCACCAAGGCATCAGGGCAACTGGGCCGTCTTCCAAGACCAAGGTTGAAAAAAAAAATGAAAAAAGAACCCTAACCCTGGGCTTTGAATGCCCGTATATAACATTGGGGTTTGAATGCCCGAATATCAGAATCTGAATGCCCGTCCAACAATTGCCCAAATTAACCTCATATCCCACAAACTCGCCAAACGTGGACACCACCCAATCTCCCAGGGGACTGTATTGAGATTTCTGGGCTACGGCAATGCTGTCAGGACTGTGGGAAGAACTGATTTGTGTCTTTCTTCTAAAGATGAAAAAACCGCAATTGCAAGTTAGAGCTTTTGTGTGTGTGAAAGACTGGAGGAGCACGAAGGCGAGAGGGTCGGTTGATTTTGGGATGAAGCGTCCAAGGCGAGTAACTCTGGGCAATGCCGAGGTTTGTCGATGAAGTTCGCGGCGTCGGCAGCTCCCATTGCCATCGCGATGCCACCAACTTTCGGATCACGTCGGAGAGAAAATCAAAGGTCCAAGTCCGACCAAGGCGCCAGTTCATCGAAAACGTCTGGCTTACAACAGCTTAAGTCGCGAGAGACCCAAACACTCCGGCAGGTTCCTTCTCATGCCGTCCGCAAAGTTCCAGCAGTCCACAATCTCGAGCGTGTCATCCTCACGCTTAGCTGCCTGACCAGAAGCCACATACGCCTCAACGCCTTGGTAGACAGATCTATAAACGAAAACTTCATCTCCTGTCAGCTCTGCCGAAGGGTGCTTCACGACCACAAAAGTGTTTTCACAAAACTGCGGGGAGGGGAGAAGGTCAATTACACAATTCAGGGTCAAACGGTGAGAGGGCTCGGGAAGGTGTTTCTTTTCCACTGGGAGAAGACCGCGAAGAAGCCAGAATGATCTTGGAACTTTGTCGTGTGTGAAGGCTTGGAGAATGTGAAGGCCTTGGAAGGCGAACAGGTTGTGATTGGGAGGGATATGGCTGAAGAAATGGATGATATCGGGTGGAACGAGTATAATTTGCAGTTCCTGTAGGTCACGAATCTGCCGGCAACCTGTTGCCTTGGTCTAGACACCTCTCTTCCCGCTGGATTTCTGGGCAGACAGATATTGGTGTTCCATTCCCGCCAAGATCATGGCAGCCCCGGCTTGGTCATGCAACATGTCGTGATCCGTCTCCAGTTCGCCCCTGACCGAGTGGTCGCGCAAGAGATATCGACAAAATTCTTCGGTGATTATGCACTTGGTTGTACACAGTTTGAATTCAAGGTCCCAAAGTCCAAGACCAATGAGAGAACTGCAGACAATATATGCCTGCAGCACGGGGACAGGGGTCGCTGCGGCTCTCCTCCGACGTTCTCGTATTTCCCCGTGAAGGCAGGGATCATAACATCGCATGGCAACGCACATATGCAGAAATAAACTTCATATCCAGGTCCATGTCTTCTATCAGGGTCATGGAAAACGGTAAGCTTCAAGACTTAATCGCTGAATAGCATTGCGAATATGAAACCTCTTAGATGTCAAAGAACAAAGTCGATGGACTGCGACCAACCTTTTTCCAGCTTGAACCTAGAACTCGAACCACGTCAAAGCAATTTCCCCCTTTATATAACTCGCGTAACCCCAAAAGATAACTATTCATGCATCACGATATTAATTGCGCCGAAGCTAGAAATCCGGGGTCGATAAGCACGAGGCCGGGACGAACCCTCACCAACGCACACAGCACAAAAGGACGCCATATTCGCACCCATCTTGAGATGTCAGATCTCCTCAGAAAGTTCTCAACCCCGACCTAATCTACCCAAAATGGCAGTCAAACCCCTCTTCATGACCCTCCTAACCACCCTGTCCCTCCTCCAAATAACCCCCATCACGGCCTACACCCACGGCCCCCGAATTCTCGAATCTCTCAACAACCTCGCCTCCCTCACCAAACGCCAATCAACCCCCGAGCTCCTCGCGGACCTCAAAACCCTCCCCAACAGCCAACTCACCTCGGTCGGGCGCATCATCAAGGACATACTCCTAAACGACCGCTCAACCAATTCACCTCAAGACTTCGCCGGCGTACGGTACTCCGCCCCCGGCGCTTTGGGGAGCACCGCCTGCCAGCAGTCGACCTGCTGCGTGTGGAAGTACGCCGCAGACGAGATGTACAGCACCTTCCGCAACACGGCCACGGGCACGTGCAACAGCCTCGCCAGACAGGCAGTCCGCTTAGCCTTTCACGACGCGGGGACCTGGTCTAAAACCCTAGGCGGCAGCGGCGCGGACGGCTCGATAATCCTCGCCGGGGAGTGGACTCGCGGTGAGAACAGGGGCATGGAAGATATTGTCGCTAGAATTCAGACCTGGTACGGCAAGTACAGACCGCACGGCGCGAGGATGGGGGATATGATACAAATGGCTGCTAGCGTCGCGACGGTTACCTGTCCGCTCGGACCTAGGGTTCGAACGTTTGTAGGGAGGAACTCGAGCTCGACGGCCGGCAGCGCTGGGAGGTTGCCGGATGTGGACGATAGCGCCGAGGACATCTTGGGTCTGATGGCTGATAAAACTTTTCGCTTGTCTGATGTGATTGCGCTGATTGGGGCGCACACGGTCAGCAGGCAGCGGTTTGTTGATCCGGACAGGATAGGGGACAGTCAGGATACCACACCGGGGGTGTGGGATGTGAGATTCTTTACCGAGACTTTGAGGGAGACTGCCCCGGCTGGGGTTTTGAGGTTTTCGAGCGATAAGAAGTTGGCTGCCGTTAGTGGGGGGCGGGATTTTTTTGAGTCGTTTGCTGATCCGGCAGGGAATCAGTTTAACTGGGCTACTGTGAGTTCATTTTATCCTCCGGTTGTGGTTGAAAGGGGATTTTCTCGTTGCTAATTCATGTTATTGTGAAACAGGCATATTCCGCTGCTTTCATTCGGCTTAGTCTGTTGGGTGTCAAGCACATTAATAACTTGAAGGAGTGTACGAATGTGTTGCCGTTGCGGGATTTGACCGTCTGAGCTGTCTTTGAGGACGAATGTACGGATCAACATGACCGGCTTTTATAGTAATGTCTAGTATATCTCTTACGCACGCAATCTTGTGCGTCTCGCTGATATGCTCGTAAATCTCAATCGCCAATAGCACCACAAACATTGTATGAGCAGAGAGTCCTAGGACTTTTCTCCTACATGTGCTTGGAATTATTCGTCCTGTAGGTAAGTATCGAGCCACTCTCCATCCTCAGAAAATAAACCCAACAACCGCTCCATAGAGAAGCCCGTCATCATGCGTGCCATCATCTTCCGGAACCACTTCATAAGCTTCCACTCCATGTATCCTCCGCTCCTGTACCTCCGACCCTTTCCAGCTTCAGAGAACTGAAAATTCGAAGGGCACCGTAAGCCAGCTTGATAGTCGTTGAGAACATGCTGAACTAGTTTGCTGTCCGTCGAATCTTCTGCCCGACGAGGGGGATGTCCTCGGAGATATCCTTGAGTCGCGCCGCAAACGCAGGTACTGTCCCAGCCATTTGGAGGACGGAGAAGACGCCTGTCACGGCGCTGATGACCTCCATGATGGCTTCTCTTGAAGATTGAAGTCGCACAGAAATACGTCAAAAAAAAAGAAAAAAAGAAAGGAGGTGAACGAGAATAAAGACTGAGCAACCTCCAGTCTCCCAACAGCGACAACCTCGGAAATCCAAAAACCCCCCTCCACCCCCCATTTTCAACCCCAATCCATGCCCACGACTGAGTCCTCCTATCGACCACTCACTCACCCTCCCTCCCCTCCATCGCCCGCGCCAAGACCTGTCACACATTGCTCACTGAACGAACGGCAGGCCGGCTGATGCAGCCGGATATGCAACCAAAAGTGCATGATATGTCTCGGTATTGGGCAAGCATTCTTTCCTACATACTTATTCCCATCTGCACGGAATTCAAGTCAGGTCATTCCGACTAATTAAAAGAAAACGCGCATCCAACAACCACGTGGATTACATGTAGGTTGGTAAAGACAAGAATGAAAGAAGACGAGAAACAAACAAGCGTCTGATGGGGCAAAAATAGAATGTGTCAAAAAGAAAACCGTCAATAACGGGATTTCGCTGCTAAACGGCAGTGGCAAAAATAACAATTCTGACAACTGTGAGATTCGAACTCACGCCTCTTGCGAGAACGCAATGCTCCTCCTCTGAGTGGAGAGGAAGGTTTAGGAAAACCTTGAGTGCGTCGCCTTAGACCACTCGGCCAAGTTGCCTGATGAATTATTGTGGCGTTCGATGTAGGACGAGTCCATGGGAAGGCTCATAGCTTCCGGCCTCTGTCGATTGCGAAGGAGGAGTAGGGTGCATTGAGAGGACATGAGAAGAAACCTAAAAACGAATTATTCTGAAGAGATAGATAGTAACGTGATGCTTCGAAGGAAACCAGACTCCGTGTGCTTTTTTAATTTCAACCCATCATGGCCATCACGGATGCTTGGCATCTGGATACCCAGAGCCGACGTCGGTGCATGTCAAGGATTGACGATGGACTTGAGCGGAGCGGAAAAGCCAAAAGAAAAGCAAAACCCGGCAAACCTCAGGGAATATTGAACAATAGAAAAGAAACTCAAAAAAGAAAGTTATCTCGACGTGGGCCTGATTCGAACAGACGCTCCCGAAGGAACAAGATTTCTAGTCTTGCGCATTAGACCACTCTGCCACCACGCCTTCGATGTCAACCTGGTTCACAATTTGGAACTATACGGCAATGTCTTTCTTTCTGTCAAAAAGAGAATTGTCACCGCTCGTCTGGTTCACATGATCTCCAAGAAGCTTGGATCGCGTTTGTTGGTGAAAACGTCACTCAGCTGAACCCACTCTTTGGCAGCCAGGTGGGAATTGCCATGAAAGTTCAAGAGGAATCCAAGAGACCCAACATGCAAATTCCAATAAGAAGCCAACAATTGGCTCAGGGTGGTTCTCTGAGACCTTGGTTAATTGGGGGCGCCAATGCCGCTGTGGCTGCAGGCTATGCGACGCTGCGGAGAGTGAACCCCGGGCGCAGCATCAGAGCCTTGCCTTGGCAACTTTTCTCGACACCATATCGATATGTGGGGGAACCAGCGAAAAAGATTTGGAAATGAGAAGAAACCTAAGTCTGGGAAAACTTTGCAAACGGCTTGGTTTGAAGCCGAAATGGTGGAATCACGTGTGAAGGGAAGCATCAGGGATCTCGGGCTTGTTGACCCTAACCGACGGCCATCGTGTTGGTGAGGCTCCCTCGCTGGCGAACCCAGTTCCCAGCCATCCACCGGGCGCTTTCATGCAGGTCCTCGGCACTATTGGCGCCAGCTCAGGCACAGAGGGAACCCAGCACAAAAACAGGGGCAGATGTTTAAAAGTGATCAAAACCCCTCGGCACAGTCACCCGTGGAAATATGGTGATGGTCGTCCATCACCAAAAGTAAACAATGATAACGCCAAGTCGAACACGACTGCCACTGCTGGTGGCAGCAGCAGCACTCTCGTCCATCCCAACAGCCCAAGCATTAAGCCTTGGTGACTGGCTGAAAGACGACCCATACGAGAATGGCGGTACCGTCCACGAGCAAATACAATGTTACGCCCTCCCATACGGCGCTATCGGCTTCGCGAGCCACGTCCTCACCTACTTTACTGCCTTTATGCTTTCGAGGGGTCGTAACCCGTTCCTTTTCTGGCAAAAACTGACACACCGACGATTCAATCTCACGGTGGCGCTCATCGGCTTCGCCATCACACTGGTATTGACAGTCCTGACCATGGCGCGGTGTCATCGGACATGGCCATTCATCCTGATTGCGGTATGGAAACTGGTCTTGTCGGTAACCCTGACGGGAATGACGATTCAAGCATCGCTCGAGATCCTCGAGACGCCCAAAGCTTCCAAGTCAACCCCGAGTCTTGCGTCGTCTCCCTACTCGTCGCATCCGGCGTACTCGATGTACGCAACCGACACGAGGGGAAGGTATCAGGAATTGCACAAGTCGACTTCAACGTTTACCCTACGCACCACCAACGAAGCCGGCGAAGCAACAGAGCGGAGCGTCAAGCTGCCACAGGGGAAAGGAAGGTATCATCGGGTGTGGTATTGGTTCCCGCTGTACTTTTTGGGATCGGTGGTTGGGTTCGTCGGGATTATGAACGTGGTTGGGAAGCACATCAACGAGAACCAGCAGGTCAAAATAATAACGGGCGTGTTTGGGGGTGTCACGCTTATTGTGGTGTTGGCAGTATTGATCTCGTGCTGGTTATTCATGAGCGGAACGGGGTGTTGTGGTACGGTGGGCGTGACGTTTCTCGCTGGAGCAGGTGTCGCGGTTTTCGTCTTGTCGGTGCTCTTTGCATTTTACACGGACTGGGTGCTTGCTGCGCTCGCGGAGGATTTGGTGGGCACGCCGTCGGGAGATAATGCTGTATTTTATTGGACGTATTTTGCGGCGAAACGGTTACCGATGTTGTCTTTTTAGAACGAAAAAAAAAAAAAATGGCGTTTTGGTGTTTTTGGGAATGGATGATAATGATGGAAAATGAATTGAATGGCATTTTTTATCCAAGAGGCACAATTACTGGCAGCTTGCAATGCAGGGACGCGCACTTCTGGTGGAGAAATCGAGCAGTGGCCCGTGCCCCCCGCACCACCACAGTCGCAGCCCCACCTGCCGTTTTCGATTTAAACTTCAAGACTGCTGCACGCAGATCAATGAGCCCGCATTTCTATTTCTTGCTGCGACGATTTCCAATTAACAATGCGTTCTTGGATTCAGCGTTGTACACTAAATATGCTAGATCTCACACACATCCAAACATCTCCGAACCTGTGCTCCCGCAGTGCAACTCGACCCCCATTTTCACTGTTGACAATTTCTTCGTCCCTTCCAGTTACTCTCTATCAACATCCCTGTAATCAACATCCCTCACTGGGAACCCTCCCATATCCAACATCTTTCCCACCAACCCACCGCCTTCCTTCCCACTTCCCCACACTTCCTCTCCAAATCCCCTCATCAAATCCAACCCATTCAGTAGCGCTCCGCTAGTCCACAATTTCCCGTCTCTCACCCACCGCTTTTCCACCCAATTGGTTCCAGGACTCATGGCCCTCAGCATCGGCATAAACTCCCTCGGCCCTGTGGCAGTCTTGTCCTGCAAAATCCCAGCTCGAAGCGGGACTTCCACCCCGGCACAGATGGTAATGAATGCCGCGCACTCCTCATAGACCTTTCGAGTGAAAGCGAGCTCGGCCTCGGAAGGATTATATCCAATGTTGTGAGCGCCGATGAGCACAATGTCGAGGGTAGGACAGGTGGCGAAGTCGTCCGTTGGGAGGAGCGATATTCCGCTTGTCAGACGACTCGGTACTGACGGCCCGGCCTCGGAGATCCAGTGGAAGTGGGCTTCTTCCAAGGCCTCGGACTTGAGCTGAGAGCCGACCAGAGTGCTGGGGACTTGGTCCAGGAAGTGCTTTGTGAGACCGTAGATCATGTCTATAGGTGCTACGTCGAGGATTTCGGTAACGCTGTAAGAGAGAGTGTGATTAGCTAGACTTCAAACGCCATAGAAGACCAGAGGGCAGTGGACATACCCGGCCATGAGAATGACGCCGATGTGGATGGGGCGGTTGGGCTTGGAGAGGTTGAAGGGTTGAGACATTGTAATTGTGGCTGGTAAACACTGATATTTGCCGGTTGGTATGTTTCGATGGCTTTGAGGACGGAAAAAGACTTTTACGAGGTGATCATGATCGCTTTAAATACTCTTGTATCTACGGTTGGACAAGCTGAAGTTGCGTCAGTATCCGAGATCAACTCGGAGACAGCTTGCTGCCGCGCAGACTCCGGTCTTAGCATGCCAGCAAATGCGCATCCCTTTGAGAGACCGCAGTCCGGGAGAATGTGGACGCCGAAGTGGACAATCGCCTGATAACGTTTCTGAAGCCGAGCAGTGAACGGGAGGAATACAAAAAATGCTTAGCAGCCAGCTGGTGTAACCGTCAGTGCGGTCTGTTTTATACCTGCTCAGAACCCTTAACCTCCGAGACAAGCCGGGCATAGCAGTTCGGGTGGTGTTTCGGAGCTCCGTACAAGCTCGGAACTGAAACTAACTCATATTTTCCTTCCCAATCCTTGCTGGGATCCTCAGGCCGATACTCACGTCACTCGGCCGTTGCAAGAATTCTCCCAAGCATGACAATGGTGTTAAAGCAAAATATGGGAGTAACAAGCGGGAAATCTCATCAGCCAATTGTCCTTGGTTGCCTTTTTGAATCATATTTATTATAATCTTGGTGCATGTTTCCCGAAAGGGGTACCGAAACCTGTTGCCGACTGGACTGGACAACCTGATGCATACTGTCTATCCAACCCAATCGCAACGTTCTGCCAGGTTGAAGCACATTCAACCTTGGTTTTCCCCCCTCTTATAACATGTATACCTCTCTCTTCTTTACTGACCCGAAGGCATGTAAGTCACACCCAACTATCTCATTCCACCATAAACCGGTGGCTTGCCGCAGTCATGATGATAACCAAGGTTTATCGGACCACACCTTTCTTGCAAGGGTTCTGGATCCATCACGATGTGGGTGTGAGCAGATTTGTCAACGCCACTGACGATATGACTATTGCCCTCGGTCTCCGTTCTCAAGCCCTCAAAAGGTTTTCCTGCGCACCGTTAAAATAAATAAATTTCCGCTCCTCATCCCAACACAAACTGCACAGGCTGCACACGAGCACGACATTACCACGGCCAAAATATGGCTCCCCGATACCTCCAAACGCGCCTTGGACGCTCCGAATCCAACCAGCTTACCATAGTAGGACTGGCAACCATTGAGACCCCAAGAGCTACTTCTGTCACAGGCATACTGTCGATGCCAGATGAGCTGCTTCTCCAGGTTTTTGGATGCGGACCACGGGTGGGTCCCACCCGCACAGCAATTGCACTGGTGTGTCGTCGTTTCAACAGGGTTGTTACTGAATTGCTATACAAAACCTTGTGCGTAAAGGGGCGAGAGATTTGTCTCCCAACTTGCAAATTCAGAGAGTGGGAGAGTATTATGAATGTCTGCCCAGCCAACCGAACGCCTATATCAACCAGGCAATTACACCGGACCCTGGAGCGCTACCCATTGTTGAGGAAGCATTGTCGGGAGCTCCGTCTGAGATTTCAGTGGCCGGATAAAAGAAGAGACCTGACTCCATTCCATTTGAAGACTGCCGGGGACCTTGTGACC